AGTCAAGTGCCCTGTCACATTCACAGTAACGTCATCTACATATATTTTAAATTTCTACATCAGTTCTTCATGTAGGAGGGTGCATCAATCCTTTAGCACTGAGTAAACTTTTTCCTTTGTTTCAAACTAACCTTAATGTGAATCATATAAATATTCCAAACTTATAAACAAAGTTGTAACCTTCTGAAGAAGCAAAGATAATGCAAGCTGTTCAAAATGTCCTCATTTTCATTGTGTAAAACTCAATGTATGTGTAGCATACATGGCCAATAAAGCTGATAATGAATACTACACATTAATACAGAGGTAATACTGAAAACAACACTCAAATCTATAGTTATAGAAGCTCAACAACAGCCTCAGACAAGTGGAATTCAGGATTTGTCATATAAAATAGTTTAGCCTCACGAGTGCTTGTTGCTGAGCGGGCGTCCCTCAACCAGAAAGTTGGTGGTACGATCCCTGTACCCTAAACGGCCTGTCATAGAAAAAAGTGCTGCCCATAGATTCACTGTATGATTGGTGTGTGTGAATGGGTGAATGGCAAACTGTAAAGTACTGTATAGACCATTTATTAAAAAAATGTAAATGTTCAGAAATTTGCCATAAAATCTGAGTCATGTCTTCCCTGGAGTGCCTCCATCCCTGCTTGGACACCCCCCTCTCTAATGACTTTTCCACTAAAAGTCCTTGCTACTGTTCACACATCAAACAATAGCGGGCTGATATGACACAGGCTGGACAATTCAGACATCTTTTCTGTGGGTGTTTCACATTATGAGCAAAACACTGCTGCACGGCTTTGTGATTCACACAAAAGGATTAAACCTTATTCCATGTTGAGTCTTAAGAAAAAGGAACTGTAGGGTAACATAAGCACAACATCGACTTTAAAAAAAACGAGCACACAGCAAATTACAGCACTTCAGCAAAATTGTTATAAATCATTTGTCAGGAGGGAATCTTCTTCTATGCATTAAACCGTTTTTATGCACTAAGTGAACTGGGTTTCATAAAAGCTTTTCATTTGAGTGGTTTTGAGAGATGGATTTTAAAACATGCTGCAATTTATTTGGTTTTGTTGCTGTGCGGTCTTCGCCTTGCTGATCCTGCAGCTTTTTCAAGAGATAAGATGTTGGACCGCTGGGCCATTATGGGGCCATTTTCTTTCTTGTGTTTTCCATGGATGAAGTGTAAGTCCCTTTAGGTTTCGGGTCAGTTTAATACAGTGGACATCAGGTTGTGCGATTCCATTAAGTCCATATTTCTCCAGCAAGTAATGTGGGATTTTTCAGTAAACTGTTCACATTTCATAGATGCAAAATAAGGTATTTGTATTCTGGACCCGTCTTGTCCTTAATAACAAGTAATAATGCAAGTGCTGCTGATCAGCCACTGCTGATCATTTTAATTAATAATGTTTGTAGTGCACACAGAATCAAACAAATTTGAGGTAAATTAAATTACAGCTAGCTTATACTGTAGCGCCAGGGGGCCTAAGTTGATTATTCAGTCTTAGTGGCACTAATATCTCATATAGTTTGCTCAGACTTTCTGGTTTTCACCTTCTCTGTATTCTGCATCTGCTTATTGCAAACAAACATTTCTGTATTTGTTTGGAACCATCTAGGACCCTATAAGAACTGCATATGTCTGTATGTATGTGAAAACTGTTCAACTTTCCTGCTTTAAACTCGGGAAGTGCATTCTTAGTGGTCCTGGAAAGTATGTGGTCAAATCTGGTGCAATTTGGACACGCAATATGTTCAATATTTATAATTTAATGAAAAACAGTGACTATCACACATTGATTGCAGATAAACCAGGTGGGATGAACACAAAGTTTTCTGACCTCACTTCACTGACTCACCAATACAATGAATAATTCGGAAGAAGCTCTGGAGCATCGACACAGAAAAAGAGAAGAGCCCACTGCAATCAGGCAGGTTTAGAACAGGCACTGCACTAATTGTGTTAATAGAATGGAAAATGACCAACTTGTCACCTTTAAGATACATGTGGTGATTCAGTAATATTATTTAACTGCATCCTAATAAAACTATAACAGCAAACGTAAGGCGAAGAGAATAGAATCGAAGACCATCTGGATTAGTGACCATGCATGTAGTTATATACTTTTGTTAGACTTTAAGAACACAGGCAGAAGTAGTTTCTCCTACACCAGTAAATTAAAATCATTCTGCTGTAGAGAAGTGAGAAAAGCAGCTCACATTCTGCAGTTCAGTCTATATCAGCTGTCCTCTGACACTTTCCCTCCATGATGGGTACTGGTGCTTCTGAAGAGGAGGGCGGAGGCAGGGTGACACGAGAGTGAAACATAACACTGTTGAATCTGGGACACCATACTAGGGCACTTAGCAAGCAAGCTGATCCCTGGAGCAGGAATCTGGAGACCGACGGGATAAAAGTAGGAGGAACAGCGTTTGCACGACAGAATTATCTCTGGACAAAAAGCTTGCGTCTCCCGCAGAACATGATCATTTGCATCTCAATTTTTGTGGATTGTGGAAAAATAGCGTGAGCGAGAGCAGAACTCATCTTGGCTTTTGCATTTAATTTGCTACATATTTTCTGACATGTTTCTTCTAAGGGAAGATTGAGGGGAAAGCTTAAGATTCACAGCCCATCAATCTATTTCAGAGGATGTCAATCACAGGATGATGATGAGAGAGCAAAGAGAGTCTCCTTACAGCACACTGAAAGCTTTACACCACAGTAAAGTTGGATCTTTATAAATGCACAGAGTGAATTCTACACATAGCGTCATGTGGCTTTCAAACATACAGAGTGCGAGCTATTGATCTATATAAAAGCAATGTCACTTACCGTGGTTGGATGCCTTGGTGTGAACAGGTGTGTAATGATTCTTCAAAGTCCTGACTGGTGTTTCGTCTTTGGGTGACCCGTCAAATGCTGCAATGTTTTCATGTTCATACTGAGATATTGGAACTGGTCCTTGTTGCCTCAGAATGTCTGCCAGGGCTCTAGAAATGAAAAGAAAAACACAAATGAAAAGATTTAAACTGAGATGTTTCCCTTTTCCAATGACCAACATTTACATTTTGTACTCATGGCAACCTCCTAAAGGTCTTCTGAATCGATTTAGCCACAGTTCCATATAAATCATAGAGGTTTGGAGTAAGGCAGAGAGAAAAGCCTAATGACACCAACAGTTACAAGGGAGTTGAGGGAGTTACATTTTCAATAGCATGGCACAAAAGGTGGAGACCCATTCTGTTATTTGTGCCAGACCGGAGCTCAAGGGCCATTTATAAAAAGTTAATGTGTGTCTCTTCTTTGAAGCCACAATATAAAAGTAATATTTCACCAACACCATTTCAAACTTTCTGGAGCCACAGGGTCAGCCTGTGAGGTGGAGTGCTGGATGGCTTTGCATTTTCTCGAAACGAAATGAAAGGCCAATTTAACAATGTCAATGTCAACCTAAAGTAACCGCACAGTCTACTTCTCTATAACTCAGTGACTTTGGGAGATATATTGCATATTAATAGCATTTCCCTTCCAGGAGGAGAACACTTTAGCCGTTTCTTTTTTACAGACAGAGGCGACCTGGTTTTGAATTGTCCTAGTTGGCTCCTATGTCGTGTGCGGCAGGAGGTATAGTTTGCAAGAACAGGCCTGACATTTATAAGCCGTTATCGTAAGAGAGGAAAAATATTTATTAAGTACTTTTAAACATTCTGCATTTAAATCATAAATTCATGCGGCTATTAAAACAATGTTAAAATGTATGAAATATAAAAAGCTTATACCCAACCTAGTCTGTAAAACCTGATTGAGGGGATGCATGTCAATAGAGAGCAACATTGGGCCATAAATCGATCCTTGGGGAACGCCACAATCGATAGCAGACTCTATTTCTGTTAATACCAGATATAAGAACATTTAGGTTTAAAGCCGCATTTTGAGAAGATAAAAAAAAAAAGAATAAATCCAACAATAAATGTGTATGTGTAATGTCAAGCCCTCGTTATTCAGCTGTGCCAAAGAGCTCCACTGTCCAAAAACTATGTACACATCATTGAGCCACACACACGGGATATGTTCATTCATTATACAGAATACCAAGTGTAGTTTATTTTTAATACATCATACTCTGTCCTGCCCCTGAGATTATTGTCTTTTGCATCAAAAGTGAATGAATATCAAGTTGATTGATGTCTTTGCTAAAAACCGCAGTGTCCAGTTATTTTATGAATATTACAGAAATGAAATTAAAATAAGGAAATGTCACAATTGTGACCCATTTAAAAAGATTAATGTCTTCAATAGGAAACAGTGTTTTTGGGTGTGACAGCTACAGAGAGGCTGGGAAAATATGTGTTTTTTTATTTTGTCATATATCCATCGGCATTAATAAAATATAGAATGCAAACAGCATTACCCTTTAAAGGATGAAGTCTTTCTAGACTGTCCAATTAAAACTGAACTAAAAAGCAGAGCAAAACTATGACCACCATCACTATTGTTATCGCTCTCTAGTGTACAAGCTACAATGACCTTGAACATATCTTTGGTATTTTCAAACTAAGTTCTGTTATTTTTCATTGCACAGCACATTGGGACACATCAGTATATTTTTGAAAAGCTTACATTGCTAAATCCCAAGAACAGAGTTTATATGTTTTACATTGAACTTTCAGTTATTGTTGATGCTTTGTTTACCCATTCACAGCTTTTACCTCAACTTCTAGGTCTCACAGTCCAAACATTATTCTCACCTAGCTGGCATAAATTGCGTCTCGGTTTGCTCTGCAGAAGGTGATCAATACAGGCTGTTCAAATCATTGGCTTTAGCTCTCACTCGGCATTTCTTGTGTTTCGGTGAAGGTCACAGACCAAACAGCAAAGGTCTGCCAACAGCTCAGTATTCTGCTCGCAGTGCTCCATCAGTCACAGGGGTAGGAGGCTAAATCACTTTCGAGAAGCACAGGAAATTAACAAAGCCTCCCACTTTTAAGGAGCACACCCTTGCCAAATATAAAGCTAATCCTATGTTCCACTACTTCTCTTTGGTCACAGCTGTCAGCATGGATGTCCGCTGCCAGCCTCTGAGGTCTATTCCAGCAGACATCATTATAACTGCTCATTGCGACAAATGGTTGGTGAGAGTAAACAAATCATAAAAAGAAGAAATGACACCATTGAGCACCCAGGAAGCCATGCCTCCTCATTTAATCGTCCTCTCCAAACTCGCATTGCCACAGCTCACACTGAAGTAAACGACATTAAGCAGATCCACTTGAAAGTGTGCCCCTTGGCAAGGATAGAGGACCCAGTAAGAAGACATAAACTTCCTCATCTCTTCATTTCCCAGAGAATAGAGATTTGATGTTCTTTTTTGTCTCAAATAAAATACTGTATTATGGAGTCTCTTAAGTCCAGAGAATTGCCAACTTTTGAGAAAAGCACTAACAGTGATAAGCAGAGCTTAAATTTAATATATAGCTGATCCAAGAGATCCTATGTGTCACAGTCGGGGCTTAAATCTGGACATTTTTTTATCCGTCATGAACTTGTTGCTGCGTTTCTCTGTGCAAGAAAGATGAGTAATCTCCCTTCACATTATTAAAGCAGCAGGCACGGAAATGTCCGGGACATAACAATGCTCACTTATCTTCATATCACTGAATCGACCATCAGGGCTCTGGCTGAGAAGCAAGATGTCCTCCTCTGCTCTGTCCAACTTGAACTTTGGATAATAGCAGGTGACTCAAGTGATGCTGGGATAAGAGCAATGACTAAGTGGCTAAGATTTCTTCAGTGGGTGGAAAACATGCAATTTCATTCAGACCCAACACCGAACTCAACACCCATTCATCTACACTGAAGCAGGTATTGATAGTATCCTAGCATGCATTACACAAAATGTAGCTTGGACATGCGTATGTATTTCTTAATTGAATCTTAATTGTGCAGGTTGCTAGTCAAACATATTTGTAGATTTTCTTGAGGAATGCCATTGATGATAAGATAAGATTGAAACCAATGAAAGGATTCTACCTGCAAACAGACCACAGCAAAATTGCATATTTAAATTGTCTCTCCTGCCAAACTAAAAACTTAAACCTGTAATAACTATTTTTGGCCACTTGGGAGCTGTGAAAATAAGCCATGAATACTACGCATCTATAAACTATTTCTGGCAAACTTGCCAATTTACAAAAATCTAGAATTTTGGAGTAGCGTTAGAATGTATTTCTGTAGCATTCACTCTTTTTCGAAAGATATGGACTATCTTTGGATATGTCTTTTTAGCTCCACTATGTCCACTATGTTTGTCTCAAACTGTGTCTGTCTGCTGGGTTGTGTTGGCACGGGTGAAGAGAGGTGTTCTTTATTAGCGTACAATCTTCTTCACTGAAACCAAGTGGCTGAAAATGACCATATGAAAGCGGTGAGACTGAACCCAATCAGTAAATCTGTCATGCTGAAGTTTTTTTAATGCTTTGTAAAGTGAGGAATCACAGAGTTAGACGATATTCTCTGGGCGCATTCCATCAATTCCTTTCACATGAAAGAAGTCAAATATTTAAGACACTCATATATTCCTGAAGTCAAAAATGATAGACAAGGGAAAGCATGACATTTTTACCTAAGAAGAGGAACCAAGGGGACGTTTAGAACCATTTAATGGAGAGGTAGATGATCCATCCATCTTTAAAGACCCTTATATTGTATTTTCTCAAACAGCTTCTTTCTCTGGGCCAAGGATTAGAAAATGGACACCAAATAATTAACCAAACAGTTTTGAATTACTCCACATGAAAGACTTATTTATCCATGCACCCATCCATTCAGCCAGTTAATTATGTGTGTTTTTCTTTGTGCTTATCTCACAGTTTCGAAATGGGCGGAGCTCAGTTCAGCAAAGACGAGTAACACCATCACAACTGAGCAAACATTCCCACTGAAATCTTGTGACAGTTGTCGTTCATCACTGAAGAACTCATAACCTTTGAATTGGAATTATTGGTTTGATTGGATTAAAGGTGATTGTTTCTGGACGCAGGAGCAGGAAACAGCAGTTCCTTATATGAAATAATACGAAAAAAGAAAAACATTTGGTGTTGTGATGACAGTCGGATATATAATATCACCTGCAGCAGTTTGCAGCTGGTGACTGAATCAGCCACAGGACATGTCTTTTTATGTGGCTTTAATGCTCATTGAACAATTCAATGCCTCAAGGTAAAAAAAAAAAAAGGCATTGAAGAGGAGACGGCTCCTATCAGGATGAACATGATTATGGTTTTCAGTGGCATTTGTTCCATCCCACCCCGAGGTTGAAGGTATATAATAAAATACCAACCCCTCCCCACCCACGACACAGAATGGGACGTGTACCATGAAAATGGATACAGGCTTGACATTTTTTGACAGGGAAGCTCTGGGGAGGCGTTTGTTGAAGGTCACAGGCTGGATTGAACATGTATGATATGAATTTGTGTAGGTTTCTATAAGTCAGAGGAGTTGCCAGGAAAGCTGCTAAATCTTATTTTCATTTTAACGCTACTGGATGGGGGAAAAAAATTTCATTATGGTGAATCCTTTCCCTCTATTTGAATACTATGTCACTACAGGCTAACGCTATAGACAGTATTTTATACTACGACAATGACGCACTGGAATAAACTTGAAACTGCATCAGGGGCATATGTGTGGATCCAGCCTCCATCCAAAAACCCTGAGTTAAGACTGAGATAAAGTCTTACAGGATAAATTCATACAAAAGGGTTTACATCGCTTCCACTTCACACTATAGGTGTGAGATACCTATAGTGTTTCAGACTTACCCACAGTTGGAGAGGCAAACATCGGTTAAAGTGCTCAGACCTCCTAGTTCCAACTACAGGACCTCACACAAGATGATAAATAAACAGGTTTTTCTACTTTTTCCATTTATCATTCCACAACATAAAACATCTTACCTGTGCACATTCATTTCCTGAGGAGGCTTGGTGGCTTTATCATAGGCAACTTTTGCAGAAATCCCAATGGCAATGATGAGCGCTATGACCCCGCAGGTGATGTACACCGTAGTGTTGGTCTGGTCCAGCTCCGGGTCGTACGTGTCACCCGTGGGCGCCGGAGACGGGGGCTGGGTTTTGATCCAGTCCGGGGTGTTGTAGTTGGTGCAGCTCCTCTGCTCCAGCCGCTTCCCCCGGTCCGCGCAGCAGAAGCGCAGGAAGCAGCTGCCGCAGCAGAAGCGGTGGTCTGTGTTGTTGCAGGCGAACTCTTTGTCGTACTGCCCGCTCACGTCGTAGTAGCCCAGGCAGGTGTCGTGCTGGACGACCGAGGGGGCCTGGAGCTGCGTGATCTTCCCCGGGACGGCAGCGGCCGCCGGGACCGCTGTGGTGCTGCCGTTGACCTCCTTCACCTTTGGGGGCCTCCTCGGCGGGGTTCTGCTCTTCTTGTTGGCGGTGGCGGCGCACAGGACATTCAGTGGGTCTAAGTAAATCAAAAGAAGCAGAAGGTGCTTTATCCCCATCATTTGAGGACGCGCTGGTGTTTGTCCGTTGGCCTCCACTCTCTTCTGTCTCTTCCCTCTCAGCGTCACTCTTCCACTTCTTACCGAGTGGAGCTTCTTGCGGGTGTCTTCATCGCAGGTGCTCCTTTACGCGTCGAGCTCTCACTGACGGACTTTGACTGGCAGCTTTCTCGCATCTTGTGCATGTTCGGACTTTGTTGTCATCCACCACTGAGCTCGTTTTCTTACAGAAATTCGCCGTGGCCAGACGTGTTCTTGGCGTTAGGGCTGCAGAGACGTGACAACGACCTGATGTCCTCCAGGGAAATTCGCCTTTTCTTTACCATGAGCGGTTGTTCGTGAGAATGACCGAGTCTCTTAGTTACGCTGCGTAGAAGAGATGTGTGAATACACGGGGCATTAGTCGGCAAACTGGACTTAAGGTTAGGTGAACTATCAATGACAAACTTTATCGATAGACAGACGGAACGGAAAGAATCTGGATCGATTATTGGCGATAGTTGGACCGGAGAGCACTTTCAGCACCACGGACAGAGCCCAAGTTTCCATTTGGTTTGAGCTCCTCGGTTTCAAAAACTACACAAGTTCGATCTCACTCTGTGATATTTCCACTTACAACATGAACCATATCGTTATTTGAGCAAACAAAAAACACTATCAGCTTTCATGAATTGCACATGGGTGAAAAAATACTCATTTGTGGAGCGTTCAGTCATTTCATTTCACGCGTAAACTTTACTTTAGGCTTAAAAACGCAGCATTCACTTCGGCTGTTTTTCAAACGAGAGATTGAAAAAATTAAGTGTGAGGTGAAAATAAAAAAGGAGGAAATGAACAAAGACTTACCGGGTTAGCGGTGGCCGGTATAACAGGGATGTCTCAGCCACTGCCACGGAATCAAAGCGCCCCAGCAACACAAGAGCCAAGACCTCTCTCTCCCTCCCTCTCTTCCTCCCTCTCTCCTCTCCGGCCCGCCTCTCTCTCTCTCTCCCTCCCTCTCGTCACCGATTCAGGTACCTCAGTTAATTATCAATCGCTATCTCTCCTCCTCCTCCTCCCTCTTCGGTCATATGCCTCCGGGCTTCACTCGATAACTGGCGGAGGTAGAAAAGCACAGGAAGACAACAGTGTATTATGGAAGTTGTCTGTGTGAGAGGCGATGAGGCGCCGCCGCCGGTGTCCATTCACGCTCCAGCGCGCACTCAAGCTGCATCCACTCACAAGTCACCAATCACGCCCCGCGATGCGCGCCTTGTGTATTCGCCTGGTTTACTTTGGAATTACTAATCAAACGCTGTCCCGGTGCGCAGGGAGGGAGGAGAGGAAAGAGATTTGGTTGTTTAAAAATGTCTGGCATGCACAAGGGGAACTATGAATCTGTCTTTCACCGTTAAAACCCGCTGGATGTATGGAAGCTGTTTCATTCTACACTCTGACCTTTGAATGCTTTTTAAAATCAAATTCTACCTCTGATTTCTGAGCCTCAGATTTGCTTTAATTAAAATGAGATCCCCAATTCATGTTAAGAATCCACTTTTCTGTCTTCTTTTGTCAAAATCGACTTTATTGTTAATTCTGCCATATACAGGACATAGAGCATTGAAATGCCGTTTCTCTCTGATCCCCAGTGTAAACATATAAGTAGACAGAACATATAAGTATGCAGTATATTAAGTACTCAGAGTACACAGTGGATGAGAGTAGTGCAAACCGGAATAATGCAAAAATGGATTGAGAGTGCAAAAATACTTCATGGGAAGTAATGTACATCCACAGGATGTAGTAAATAGCAGTTAAAGATAGAAGCAGTTGTAGTATGATTGAAGCATTTACAGTGAAAAAAGACTCAGAAGTCAGATTCTTCAGAATACTATTTATTTTTAAATTACTCTGAAAATTTCCGATTTATTTCCAAAACTTCAGGCTTTATTCTCAAAAACCCAATTGACTTCCAAAGTGGAGTACCCCACATGTCCACTGTAACCCAAACATGGCAGTGGTGCACATTTTAAGCAGCTGCTCAAAGGCACTGGGGGAGGGACAGTATACTGATGGAGGCACGACCAGTTCCTAAAGGCCGTTTCTGAAGTCGACAGTGCAGAAGTCAATCGAGCCAATTCAGCTTTATTTGTATAGGACCAAATCATAATATACATTATCTCAAGGCACTTTACATAGAAGGTCAAGACCTTAAACTCTTATTTAATAACATTTAATAACTTACTTATTTAAAGTTCCCACAATGAGCAAGCACTTTGGCAATCCTGCCTCACCAAGCAAGCGGTCAGAGCGGGGGAGCAGCAAAGACCAACTGCAAGACCCTCTTCAGGCAACCTGGCCTCTGCAAGACTGGCAGCTATTAGCGGACAACTTAACAAAACTTCCCAGATTCCACTTTTCTCTCAGAATTCTATATTCTCAGATTTACAACTTTCATTTAAAGTATTTACTTTTCCGAGAGCAAAAACGTTTTTAATATTCAAACTTTATATTAAGAACCCACTTTTGTCTGTGTGGACTTTTATTCTGATAATTATAGATAATCTACTTTACTCAAGCACTGCTCCATCTCTACAAAGGCATCACAAGGACAAATATCTTGAGTGAAAAGAGTATTAATGACAAATAATGTATTCCACACTTCAATGGTGATTTAATCGTATTCATAACTGTGTTTTAATTTGGCAAAATCTGGCTGCACCAGATGGTGAAAATCACCACGTTGAAACACCCAGGTAATTTGAGGAAGTTGTGTCAAATTGACTTTCAAATACTTTGTTGTCCTCATTCACTCAGTCATCATCCGGTGTGTCAAAGCTCATCCATCTGGTGCACAGACGAAACCTTCTGCCAAGATGTTGCTGTTTCAGGCAGCTTGAGAGTGATTTGATCAAGGTGAGCACTGTTTGAGAGATCTGTGCTGGTATCGTAGAGATGTTTGACGCAGCCTCTAATGAGTCGGTGTTATCGTATTTATTGGGACCTTCTGCAACATTTTACCTGAACTTATTTCAATCAAAAGAGAAACAAGAGGAATGAACAGAGGAATAAACTTTGATGTGAAAAGAGAAACAAGAGGAATGAACAGAGGAATATACTTTGGTCCTCAGACCCTGACAGGACTCGTTCAATAACTTCTAACTATCTTCTCTGATTCATCAGTGTGTCTCTCTTCGCCTCTCCTCTGCCTCTGATTGGCCAAATTTGGTTCAATTCCAGTCTTCCCCATCTGCATGCCGAAGTGTGCTTAGGCAAGATACTGAACCTCGCATGGCCTCTCATAGAAAAAAAGTGCCCATAGATGCATTGTGTGAATGGCAACAACCTTTACTGTAAAGCAGGTCATCAAGACTAGAAAAGCTCTATATAAATACAGACCATTTACTGATAGTTATCGGAATGTGAAGAGAATTTCAAGTGTTTCAGGAACAACTTACCAACCCTGTACACTTAACAGCCACAAAACCACCACTCTTTATAAAAGTAGCCTTGATTACAAAGCCTGACTTGTTAGGAACAAAACACACTTCTTTTATGACTCACTGAACTTTTGTCTACTGGTCAGTTTGGAGAGAATTTATTACAGTTAAATTTCACATACTGTATTTTACATTAAGTTTGCCCTTTTGTCATTTTACAGCCAACTGTTACCATCTCATCCCAGTTCCTCAAACTACAAAAAGTTAATGTAAATTCAGAAACATTCAAACCGCAGACTGAATGTGTCCATGACTGCACCATTCCAGTATATACTATTTTCTTGTTCATCATTTTGGACACATTTCCCTTAAAAACTCACCCTGACAGTTTTGAGACGACTGGAAGCTCTGGAACTTAAAATAAAGTTGTTCTGTACAGTGTGAGTTCTTACCGGCTTGCCCACAAACAGGTTGCCTGTCAATGGGTTTCCTGTTGCTGTAACAAACAAAATTGACACAGATACTATGACAGCCTCTGACTCAGTCAGTGCCCCCTCTGCTGTCTTGTGATTTCTTTCTTTTTGCCGGTGGAGACAGTTTGGAATGGACAGAGTCATCTGGTGGAGACAGGTCGGGTTGGACAGGGTCACCTGGTGGAGACAGGTCGGGATGGACAAAGTCACCTGGATAGTTACAATTAAAATTTTTACATCAGCTCCTTAATTTCTTTCTTTCTTTCACCATCACCTGGACACACTATTTTATACATTATCAATATAACAGGAGTTATACTCTTGCTATTGGATATTGATGAGAGTTGTCAAATATATTTTCAAGAACAGTCTCATCGACTTGTAAAAAGTTTCCTGCAATGCTGGCACAACCTGGTTTTGCCCGGAGCTCTCACTCAAACACAGATGATGTGCCTGATGCCCAATCAAAGATACTTAAAATACCTCTAAATCCAAATCCTCTCACAGCCAACTTTGGCATTCAATGTGAAGCAGGTCATCTACCTGAGGCAGGGTCAAATCGCTATACTTTTGTTACTCTTAGCTGAAAAATATTTGGAATCACATGCTACCCCACCCTCCCTTATTTGATACTTTGTTTTACTGTTTTGTGAAAAAAGAAAGTAGATGAAAAGGTTTTTTAAGATATTTATTCTAAAATATCTCTATAACATACAAGAATAGTTTGCAAGGGGTCACCAGATAAATCTGAGCAGATGCTTAATAAAGAGCTTTATTTGTGTTTGTTTAGCTTCGTTCTAGTAACATACTGAATGGCTTAACCTCTAAATGTGTAGCTAGGTTGTAAAATGACCTATTTGCTGTCTGGAAGCTTTGATAAGAGGTTGTTGAGGAGTTTGCATTGTTTTTAAATGGTCAAGTTAAAAAAAGATGGAAACCAGCAGCTGTGGTTCAGGGGTTAGAGCGGGCGTCCTACCTAGTCTGCATGCCAAAGCGTCCTTGGGCAAGATACTGAACCCCAAATTGCAAAGTGCTGCACATAGATGCAGTGTATGAATGTGTGTGTGAAGGGGTGAATGTAAAGCTGTACTGTGAAGCGCTTTGTGTGTTCATCAGGACTATAAAGCACTTTATAATTACAAACTATGTTTTTACAGTTTCTAACTATTGTACACTTATGACAGTCTGTAGATTCTTCAGGTACAGGTGTCCTCTTTGCTCTCTACAGATGGATCCACATTTCTTGTTAATTCTGATTCCTGGTTGAATGCATGTAATCAGGACTTAGTTGTCCAAAGCACTTTATTCACACTGCTTAGTTCACATCTCAGACAGAAGAGGAGGAAGAAGAAGTGGACTTTAATTGCTCACCCATACTTTACACCAATCATGTGATCCCCCCCCCCCGTGGGCCTTTGAAAAAAAATAAAACTCTACTGCGCCCCTGACAGCGCTGCACAGATAATATGACAAGGAGACAAGAAAAAGTGCACAGAGCTTTTGATGAATGTCTTTGCACACTGGATGCTCCGGAAGACAGCATTTGCAAATTGGCCCTCCATTCCTCTGTCAGTCAGAATGCCACATCAGATGGCATGTTGCGCACAAAGGAAAGAGGGATTGTCCATTAGTGTTAAACAGCTCGGAGTTCGCAAGCCTCAGCAAAAAGCACTGACAGGCAACGGCAGGGTCGACATTGGCTGAAGAATAATGAGACCATAATTCCACAGAAGAAAGAAATAGTGGATGACACCAAAGAGATCTTGAGCTCGGAGTTTGCTTACCTCACCAACAGCACTAAACAATTAACTGAAGGAATCCGGCTCCTTACACCAAAGGTGGGCAGCTGTTGAAAGCAGTCGCCATGTATCTGTCACTTTGATTAGCATCACACTATCTCTAGAGGTGAGGACTGTGGTCACATGACTTGAAGTTGAGTCATGGAATTGACTTAACACTCGACACCAGACTCCTGGCTTCGTCTCCTATGTCAACAGTTTGCAAATTATTG